TTGGTAAAAGAGTAGCCCAAGAGTAGGCGGTGGGCGGTGATGACTAGCTGCCTTCCCTCTAGTCTTACACTGCTAAATTAGGGACAGCTAGCGCAGATAGCCCTCGTGTAGCTTTGCGCGAAATTCAAAAAACAAACAAACTCTAGATGTAATCAATTAAGTTCATAGAGATGCTGCAAGTATCAACCATAATACTGCACTACAGCGGAAGATAAAAAAGACAGAAATTAAGTCCCTTTTATATCGCCATCTCAGCCACTAAACACCCAGGTTTCTAACATAACTAAAACAACTCTCGAATACTTCAAAACAACAAAACTTGTGGAGATACATTTAAATATAAACCACTCACTTCAATTTATTGGTTTATGCTCGATTAAAAACAACAGAAGAAAATACTCATCTTTAATTTATGTGACACACACATTGCTGTGCACCTTCACGATGAAACACATCCCGTTACATCAAGACCAATACTTCGGTTCTTGGAACCACCTCCACTTACACAATCAAACTGTTGACCCGTACATTCAAGTGCTTAGTTTATTGTATATATTGTGGACAACTATACGTAGGAGAAATAGGCCAAATGTTGTCTGAGCGAGCTCGTGAACACCTCCGTAACATTTAGAATTGTGATCCAAACAAATGTCTAGCTAAACATTTTAACAATCATGACCGCAAAATCATTCATTTCAGAAAACTCATCATTCATCGACACTCAAATGGAAGAAACAACGAGATGAAAATGAACTCATCTATCGGCTTGACACCATTCACCCGAAGGGAGTAAGTAAAATATTTTCTTTTCTATAACTTTGTATGTGTACGTACAAGCATGTACGCGCGTAAGTACATACTTATGCATAAGCTCACATGTATATTTTAATTTTGCATAAGCATGCACGAACACACACACACATTTTTATTTTATCATTTTTTTCAACATTAAATTTTCTACATTATTCCATTTTTAGACACCAGAGTACTAGCTATCTTTTGATCTTTAGAAACGTAACATTGTTGTTTCAAAACAATGCAAAGCACTCTACTTCATGAGCGTCCTGTCTATATCATGGGTATACATAAAGGTATATATATATACTGAATGAATAAATAAGTATGTTTACCATTTTCAAGTGGAGGCAGTTGCCCCCCCCCCCTCGCCTGCGGACGTCCATGCTCCACTTACATGTTATTATGATTATGATTTTAGAAAACTTTTAAATATATTTGCATTTTCAGTTTTTAATTATAATTTACATGTATAATGATATATAAGTTAATATTATCCTAATTTTAAATAATATTGACTTGCTAATGAATCACATGCACGTTTCTTTCGATCTGTTGTATGATGCCCATTTCGAACCTTCTACGTTTGATAACCCCTGAGGTATCAAACCTTTTACTTTTCCGTTAAAGTTTAAAAATCACCAGTTTGGGCCTGAAAGGTTGCAAACATTAAAACATCTATTTATCAGTAGCCATTTTTATATAAATTTTCCTCTTGTTTTGTTTTGAAAAAATAGAACAGATAAAAATAAATCGAAGAGCATATACAAAAAAACGAGCTATTTGAAACAAAACATTGTTGCATTAATGTGGCCCCAAACACATTAACTAACAATGTTTTGTTTTAAATAGCTCATTTTTGTATTAGCGTCCTTTCATCTCCTGTGAAATATTTTTTTCAGACTCAATAAAAGGGAAAAACCTATATAAAAAACATGTTAAATTTTAATCAGCTGCAGTTAATTTTCACAACGTTTTGGTCAGGGATATCTTCAAAGTTTAAAATCATCAGAGGAAGGACATCCCGGCACGAAACGTTGTGAACACTTAAAGCAACTTTTTATCATTTTCCATGTTTTTGTGGTTAATATCAGTTCCAAGTTGAATTCGTAATTTTTCTCTCAGCAATACTAGTATATTCAAATAACGTAACCTCTCACCTGCACCTCAAAATATACGAATCAACATAAATAGCTCATTTTTTCAATAATAATCTCACATTGAATTACAATGAAATTATCTTTCATACCCAAATCATACCACATGAGGTAGGGAGATTGATGCATTTATTCAAATTAGCTTTACGATATTTTTTCTTTTTCATTGAAATTCGATACTTAATGATGGAAAATATATATATCAACTTACCGTAGTGTAACTAATCGTTTAAACCATTACAGCTGAACCAGTACGTATACTCTGCTCTGAATCTGCTAATCTTTCTGCAATCCACAACAAACGTATTGTACAATAAGATTGCGCGAAAGTAGTATATTCGTTAAATAAGGCTTTGGGCGGCCACGCGACTACGTGGTAGGCGGAGCTATTACTCGATCTGCTGTAGCATTGATATTATACAATTCAAATTTATCCTTTACGCAGGTGGGCAGGCTCCCAGAAAGCGTTGGTTAGTCAGAACTTTTAGATCTAGTTGAACAGACTACTTCATTCTACAAATTTAAACGGCTTATTGTCATGGCAACACCACTGATCTCTTACGCCAATAAGTTAATTAAACGGCAGGTTATTGGTGCAGACCCTGCTATGAACAGTGACACAAGTTAGAGTCGGAATTAAAAAAAAAAAACGGTTCACATACTTTCTAAAGTCGAAGATATAAGTGTGGCAACATGATTAACTTTTTACAATAGAAAAGAAACAGTTCAGTGGACATTAGGTAGAGAACGCTCAAGTCGTTACGTATATGGTTTTACATGCTAACTTTAACTCGACTGCTGCTAAGTATGAGTTATCTTCAGCAATTCAAATCCTGAGAAGCTTTTCTCTGTGTTACATTTGCTTTAACAGTACATGCTGTAAAATAAATCTGGTTCCTGAAGATTTCGTAATAAACGCTTGATCTGTTTTTAATGACACATATTATTAACACCGTACTGTAATCTTAACATCAAAGAACTTAAATATTTTAATATTCAACAGTTGCGGAACCTGATTTATCTGTAATAACACATATTTAACATTTGGAAACTGTTTTACTCTTAACAACACATGGTGTACAAGATTCTAGATCTTATAAAACTAAATACTCAATGTTGATGTACCAACTGTTGCAAACGATGCTTTGAGTTTTAACAAAGTTCGTTTAAAGATGGCTTAATATAAATTGTTATTGTTTTCGGTAAGTGTCTAATAATGTTGTTTTATTTCTGATGGTTTTACAGATGGTTGAGCTAATTGCAAACACATTTTTACAAATCATAGTATAACATATATAAGTAATCACAAGTATAATGAGCAAATATGTTTGTATTTTTGAATAACTATTAAAGTCAAACATACTTCCCTCAGATGAAAAATTAAATGAATGGCTTATTTCTTACCTACAATTCTTTTATTCTGATTCTACGACGTACCTTGCATTACTTCTGTGTGACAGCGGTAACTTTATGGACTTACAACGCTAAAATCCGGGGTTCGATCCCATGCGGTGGACACAGCAAATAGCCTAATTTGACTTTGCTCTAAAAAACAAACAAACAAGTATTAACTTCGACAATTTTCTCAGGAATAAAATATCAACTAAAAGAAGTAGCAATGATTTAGCTTAACGAGGATACATTTTTTTTAAAATGGAAATCGAAAATTCCGAGAATCATTATGGACAAAAAAATGACGACAACATAGCAACTCTGAGCTAGAATAAGTGGGAATGTTGGTGAGGTATTTGTTCTCATGTAAGTGAATCACATTTGTTAATAAACAGTCACTCTGCTGTATATTTACTTCAGATACACTAATTTCCATTACAGAAACTTTAAACTTGTCGAGTATAAATATTTATGGTATTCTATAGTTCTTGATAGACCAAACACATTTACCTGATGAACTTCACAACAACAAGAGGTTCATGGGTCTCATATTTGGACGGACTAACCCTGAGCTATTTGCTCCTTATATTTAGTGGGGTATTCATGCTTGTTCTATACTTGAAAACAAAATGTCCTTCTATGTAAGGAGTTACTTATTTTCTAATCTCTCCTCTCTTGAAAATTATAGGGTTTTATATATATATCCCCTTATATAGGGAATTACGTATTTTAAACCCTCATATCTACACATTTATGGATAGGGCCCGGCATGGCGAGGTGGTTAGGGTGCGCGACTCGCAATCTGCGGGTCGCGGGTTCGAATCCCCGTCCCACCCAACATGCTCGCCCTTTCAGCCGTGGGGG